TATGGCGGCGGGGGAGGAGGAAGAGGAGGAGAGAGGTATGGTGGTGGTGGAGGAGGAGGACACATGGCGGAGGCAGCGGACGAGGAGGAGGAGGAGGACACATATGGCAGACGAGAGAGGAGGAGGAGAGAGATGTGGCGGTGGCGGAGGAGGACAGAGATATGGTTGCGGCGGCGGAGGAGGACATAGATATGGCGATGGCGGCGGAAGAGGAGAGAGATATGTTGGCGACGACAGAGGAGGAGACAGATATGGCGGCGGTGGTAGAGGATGAGAGAGATATGGCGGCTGCAAAGGAGGAGGACGAGGAAGAGGAGGAGGAGGAGGAGGAGGAATAGGAGGAGGAGGCCGACGAAGGAGAAGAGGAGGAGGAGGAGGAGGAGGAAGAGGGTCGAGGAGGAGGAGGAGGAGGAGGAGGAGGAGGAGGAATAGGAGGAGGAGGACGGCGACGAAGGAGAAGAGGAGGAGGAGAAGGAGGAGGAGGAGGAGGAAGAGGAGGAGGACGAGGACGAGGAGGAGGAGGAGGAGGAGGAGGAGGAGGAGGAATAGGAGGAGGACGACGACGACGAAAGAGAAGAGGAGAAGGAGGAGGACGACGATGAAGGAGAAGAGGAGAAGGAGGAGGACGACGATGACGGAGAAGAGGAGAAGGAGGACGACGACGACGAAGGTCATTATGCCGCGGGAGGAGAGGGGGCAAGAGGAGGAGGAGGAGGAGGAGGAGGAGGCTGATAATGGGGCGCTGCCAAAAAAGGGTGCCACATAGCACCTTTTTACGGGATGAGCAGGATGAGGAGGAGGAACACGAGGAGGAGGAGGAGGAATCGAGGAGGAGAAGGACAAGAAGAGGACGAGCAAGGAGAACATGTGGAAAGGAGAACTTCAAGGAGGAGGGGGGGAGATATGGCCGAGAAGGACGAGGAGGAGAGACTCGGATATGGCGGAGCAGGAGGAAAAGGAAGAAGGACAAAAGGAGGAGGAAGGAGAACCGGTGGAAGAGGAGGAGGGGGAGAGATATGGTGGAGAAGGAGGAGGAGATAGATATGGCGGCAGCGGAGGAGGAGGAGGAGGAAGAGGAGGAGGAGGCGAAAGAAGAAGGAGAAGAACAAGAGGAAGGAGGAGGCGGAGGAGGAGTGGTAGGCAACTGATCATAAGAGGTGTGCCACGTGGCACCTTCTTACTAGACGAGCAGGATGAAGGAGGAACAAGAGGAGAGGAGGAGCAAGAGAAGGAGGAAGGAGGAGGAGAAGATGAACAAGCAGAATGACTCGAAGAAGAAGAGGAGGAGGAGGAGGAGGAGGAGGAGGGGGAGGACGAGGAGGAGCGGGAGAAGAAAGAAGGAGAAGAAGAGGAGGACACTTACCATCGGGCGATGATGTGGCAATGGCTCCTCCACGTGATGACAGCAACAACATGGCGTTGATGTGGCACTGATATGGCTATGGCTCCTCCACACAACGACAACCACGGCATGGCGGCTCCAGGCGACAACAGTGACGGCCATGGCGGCTCTAGACGACTTCAACGACGGTCGATGGTGGGCGTCCAATGGCTGCATCGGGAGGCGGGAGTCGACTTCCCCAGAGACACCTGATTCCCATAACGATTTGAATTTGAATCGAGTCTAGGCCTCCCGCAAACCCCCCGCTCAGGCAAACCCCGCCTTGCCCCGACTCAAACAAAAAACCACCCTGGGGCACCTTGTACCGCTCGGCAAGGCCTTAAAAAAAAAAAAAAAAAAAAAACTTGTACGGGGCCTTGTCTGGACCCGTACGTATGTACAAATCCACGTACAGGATTGCGTACGAAAAAAACTCGTACGACCTGTACGGAAAGGCCCCATATAGGTACACTCAGTAACGTAGGTGACACTGTGCGGGGGGAAGAACAATGACAGGTCGAACTCCAATCTAGATTAGGTCAGGTTAACTTGTTAAGTGTTGAGGGCTAGGTCTACGTGGCGAGGAGGTAGAGGCTACTTACCTGTTCTTTCAAACACCATCGATGACTACCGGATGTTTGCATTCTTAAGCCTCTTTGTGTTATGGGGTTCCCTTCTCTGTTTCCTGTTCCCTCTTGGGTTTCATCGGACGTGTAGTATGGGTGTGACCATGAGATCCGGTAGGACCATGGAGCCAAACACCGCTGCAGTTCAGGACGATATTAACAAAAGGTTGGCCGAAAAGAAAAATGAAAAAAAGGAGAAAAAAAGGAAAAGGGAGGAGAAAGTGAAAGAAAAATTGGAGCAAGAGAGGAAGAAGATTGAGGAGGAAAAAAAGAAAATTGAGAAAGATATGTGAAGGAAGGTGGAAGAAATAAAGAAGGAATTGAAAGAAGAAGAGGAGGAAGAAGGAGGACGAGGATTGGAGAGAAGGAGAACCAGACAAGGAGAAGAGGCAAAGAGCAGAGCTGGGGAACTAAGACTCCGGCGGGTTGAAGACTTAGATTGGGTGGGAAATTTGAATTTCAAACTGAGCTCCTGGAAGAAACTGAAGAAGAGAGAGATCCATTTGTGGCGAATTTGGCAGCAACGGAGGATGACGAGGAGAAGAATTTGTTGATAGAAGAAAAAAGAAGTGAGCTCAACCAGAAGTTGCTGGCCGGAAAAAGGTTGAAGGAGGAGGGGGAAAGACTTCAAGCGTTGCTGAAGAAGCAAAAAGGGAAACAAGTAGAGCCCGAAGAACGCTGGACCCTTCTCACTGACACTTTGCTGCACACCACCCAAGAACTCTTTGTACTACAATGGACCGCTGAGAAAATAGAACGACACGAAGAGGAATTCGAGGGTACATGGAACAACTACATTAGTGCATCATCCCATCAAGTTGATCATAGAATCATGTTGTACGCACGCCAATTAGATGACCACTTCACTTAGAAGCTTACTAACACCATTGTTGCCGCAAGGTTAAGTGCCTTTGGTGGAGGTGGAAATAGTGGCGACGATGGAGGTGATGACAAAAAAGGGAAAGGTTCCAGAAAGGACGGGGGAAGGAAAGGTGAAGAAGACAAGTCTTAGGGAGGAGAACGCAGATAGAAGATGAAGGTTAAAGTCACTTGTATGTACACTGGGAAAAGGGAGGAGAGCCTATTTCATTGGGAGGCAGCAATGGATACCTATCTATACTCGCAGTTGATTCCGTATTGGGACCCTGTAATAATGGCAAGTTCATGCCTACGGGGAGACACAGCTAGGTTCACCATCTCGTTAGTAAAAGAGGTCGGTTGCACCTCGATGGTGCAATATTCACAACGGACTAGGATCGATGACTTCTTTAAGCCGCCAACACCTTTCCCGGCTCAAAAACCCGCCTCCGAGCATGCCGGAAGGGCGAGCCTGTGAAGCGCAAAACCTTGAAATAGGCCACATACTATTACCTTATGTGGGATATGAAAAAAAAAAAAAAACAAGGTTTTGGCATGTCCAAAAACCGTTGTGATTCCTCAGGGTCAAGCACTAAAAAAGGAAAAAAAAAGAATTGAGAGTTGCAGTGCACGTATCTAGATGGCGGCAAGTCCAAAAACACATTTCCAACTTCGAAGATATCTAAAGGCCGTATCATTCAATCTCCGTTGACAGTGCAATAATAGATGTTGGCATGAGAACAATGATGGCTGACAACAGAACAACATGGTCATATGCGCGGTGTATTTTTTCGTGTTCTATCGGAATATCCATTCAAATTTTGTACCCTTGGTGAGCACAGGAGAGAGGCATCAGCCCAACCCTTCTGTTTCGTTTTTTTCCTACCCCTCTGAAATATGACAATCGCGACGTATCTTTCCATGTTCTAGTGGAAAATTCATCACTTTTTGCGCAACTGGTGAGAGGCCCTCAACCCGGTTTTTCTTTTTTTTTCCGTTTTTCACCCCTTTTTTATCTTTCTCTGAACATTGGAGTTCTCTTCTCTCGGTTCCCAACAACACGACCAACACCACCCTTCATCTTGTTTTTCTTTTTTTCTTTTTTTCAATGCAGTTGCAACTCTTTTTTCGGCCTGCCCTCCCACAGCATAGGGCACTAGCAGCAGACTGACTCGACAGGGGCAACTCAAAGGTATTGGTAGTTTAGGGCCCTGGAAGACCGCTTTTAATCAATCAGCTCGTCGTACCGAGCACATCACATCCTCAATATAAGTGACTGCAAGTGGAAGAGCGCATAGGCACTCAAGGCCGCTATGGACGAGCTGCCGCGATATCCGGATCATGGGCTGACCCCCGCTCAGATACTAAACAACTTTGCTAGAGCGTTGCATGAGCCCCTCAAGACCCAGTTATATCCCCGTACTAAGGAAGAGCGAGGTTCAATAAGATATATATGGACCATGCCGGATTCCTACAGGAGGCAAACTATTGTCACTATTGGAAGGACCTGCAGGCCAGTAAGAGATGGAAAAAATACGACGGTATCAGAGGGAAAGGATAATCTATTGGTCACCTTCGAAGAAGGTGTAGAGTCATTATCATATCACCAGATAGACTATGGCTTAGACGAAGACAACAACAACCAAGTACCCCGGGGAGGAGACTATGTGGCAATTGCAGCCCGTGGGGGAGGGTGACAAGGTAGAGTCCGAGGTAGAGGAGGTCGAGGTCGAGATGGAGGTCGAGGACTCGCTGCCGAGGGGGGTGTTGGCGAAGGAAGCTACTACGTGGGAGGTAGGGGTAATTGTCCCTCGCAAGGTGGTAGAGGTTCTCCCTTCATAGGGGGTAAAGGTAGAGGCAGGAGTTGGCGACCATACCCAACACCCCCGGGGATAGCCAAAGGCAAACCTTGGGAACAAATGGGAATAAATGAGAAGGTTTGGGAAGCACGATGCCAAGTCAATCAATGTTTTAAGTGTGGTGACCCCAACCGCATCGTTCTCTTCCGTCCCGAATATAGGTACCCAAAAGGGAACAACCAGTAGAGGTTGCAGTTGCCTCTACGGGGACTTCGGACCTAGACAGGAAGACAGAAGCGTGCATTGAATAGGTACCCTCCTATCCAAAAGTCCCAATGGCAGAGACTGATGTAGCCCCCCACATAGCTAGTTGTCCAGAGGGTGCTTGTGTTAGGACCTCTCTAGGTGGTTCCCTCGCAAGCATTGGTATGAGCTGATCACTCGTCACTGCGCTTGGGCCAAAATAAAGAAGAAGTCGAAGGGGCAACTAATAATAGCAGACGTAGAAGTAAGTAGAGAAAGGATAGGCGTGTTAGTAGACAGTGGGTCAACATGCAATTACATGAGTCGAAGAGGGTTGCAGAAAATGCACCTAGGTATGAAAGTAAAGAAGTTGGAGGAGTCAGTCATCAGTAAGTTGGCCGACAATAGAGAAATGGTAGTATGTGAGTATGTTCAAGAGGTCAAGGCATACTTCCGGTTGGAGGCAGGGGGAAAGGTAGAGAAAGTTTTGCACTCCCTTACACTCTTAGCGGAGGACAACCTTCCTTTTGACATGATATTAAAAACATACTAACAGACTGGGGCAATGTTGTGTATGTCGACGTCATAATTGGAGAGCACGAATGCTGGTTGCCCAGTTCCATAGGAGGGAAAAAGAAATTGTGTTTGTATCATGCATCCGACATAGAGAGTAGTTTGTTCCTTCGCTGTATGAGTGCCCCCGCGTTTGCCAGGCACGTGGTCAAGAATAACCTCGCTGAGCAAGTGTTTGTTGCCTATGTGTGAGGGTAAAAAGGAAGAAGTGCCCATACCACCCAATGTGCAGAATCTGTTAGACAAATACGCTGATGTGGGAAAGGCGCCAAGTGGAGTAGTTGAAAGGGAGACCAAGCACTAAATAGATTTAGAACCCGGTAGTATGTAGCAGGATTCCCAAGGGCCCCATATATCGGAGATCTCCCAAGGAGCTCGATAAGTTGCGCAAACAGTTAGATGAACTGATAGAGAAGGGTGGATTCAGCCCAGTTTCTCGCCGTATGGTGCACCGATCTTGTTTGTGCCAAAGAAAGAGGCGATCTACACAAGTGTATATATTATAGGGCTCTCAACATGATTACGATAAAGAATGTTGAGTTGTTACCACAGATAGATGACCTTCTGGATAGAGTGCAGGGTTGTAAATATTTTTCGAACATTGACTTGAAATCAGGCTACCAGCAGATTGAGGTACAGCTTGAGGATCAACACAAGACGACCTTTAGGACTCGATACAACCACTATGAGTT